CCGACGTACCGGATGAACAAGGTGAATGCCAGGCGTATTAGTCCTGTTTCCGCATGGATTTTATCAGCCATTTATCTGACAATAAGATTCGAACTGTTCCCGGTGCAGTCTCCTTTGCGAACTCATGGATACCGTGAAAAATTTTCCCCTGCTGCTCAATGCACCTACTTCTTGGTTAAATATGTGAAAAGCACGTTGAAACCCGATCGAGATCACTAAAAATTGATAACCGAAATCCACAGTACAGAAAATCACGATGAGAGGTATTTCTTTAGGATACACGCATCGGTTGAACGCAAGAAAAGCGAATTAAAGAAATCCAGTTAAGTTTAATAGTGTGTATGATTGTACATGATTGGTTACGTCTGAAGAAGGACAAAGGTACAGATCATACCTTTCCGGATACACAAGACAGGTTGGTTGTGAACGAACGAAAATGGCTCGCGAATTCTTAGCCAGTGTTAGTAGTCACGATGACGTAACAAACGCGTCCGTGACCTGAGAACGGACGTAAACCGCAATCGGGACGAAAGGACAACCCCCCTTCCACCCTCAGCCCCTCGCACCAGTTCAACGGCGAACCTAGTCGAACACATAGGGGACGAAAATAATCGGTGGAGAACCGTACAGCGTTGTCAATCGCATACCATACAAGTTGTTTTAAACTCTGTGATCAGGTCTGATAAGTATGGCACGTCTTGAAAAAACAAGAATGTTCAATTTTCCCATCGGATTCGCGTCAGAATTTTTTTCGGATCCTTTGAACATTGTTCCGTATCGGAAAATTTTACTGTTCGTGGAAGCGTTTTTAGAGTTTGACTGTTCCTTCTAGAGACTTTTTTGCTAATCAGAGTACATCCACAATTTAATGAATACGATTCTCACTACTATTAGTAGTCAGTTGAATTCGGTATATTTGCCGCAGTGGGGTTAGGCAGCGGCTGAAACCACCAAAATGAATGTTTCAGTTGCATCATCTGATTACATTAGATAAGCCAAATTGGAATGGTAGCAAAAGTTAGACAATACGATACAAAACAGTGTAAATGCATTTAATGATTGCAGTTTTATTCGTGATCGAATCAAATTCGTACTAGATGATGTCAATGTATCCCTTACGCGTAACATTGATGGGGATAGTCACTTCATTTTGTGTGCTTCTGTGTCTCGGTGTTCTTCCATATGGCTGCGAAGAAAAAACTCCAGGTTCTTTATCTTACCGACAACAATTTTTATCCTTCCAACTTTAATAATACCCCAGAGTGAAAAGAAATAGCTGCAGAAATGTCCAATAATCTATAAATAGTTTGAAATTTAAAAAAAATCATGCAGAAATTGCTTTTACTAACGCGATCACATAAGTTGTTGTGGAAAGTTGGTTGTCATGCCTACTAATACACTATGTTACGCTCCGTACTGGCTTTACTTGCTTTTGGTTGAAAAATCAATCCCATAATATTTATGCACTGCTGAACCGGTGAGACCTAGTGAAGTTTAAAGGTGATTGAACATCTGCTTTCTGCGCTCAAAAGAAGCGTGAGTTTGCCAACATCCAGCCGCATTCTGAATTTCAAAGTCAGATTTCAAACTGTGTGGTCGTGTGACGATAAAAGGTTGGGTAAATTTCGAAAAAAACAATTATTCAGTTGAGGATACAAGATTTATCTTGTGCGTATTGTGTAATGTGAGTCCACGCGGCGTCACGCGCAGCTGGAGTTGTGTCACGCTCAACTGTAGTTCGCCTGATAGAGATGGACACTTAATTGACCTGCCTTCGACATTCGGAATCAGTCACCTCGCTCAAAAACAACACAGTTTCGGACGTTAGCGACCACAGGGGCGACTCTTGAAGCACGAACTGTACGCAAAACGAAAATTGATCCAAGCTGTCAAACTCCCCTGGCAAACGGAAGAGAAAATCGCTTGTACACAGACATGACATAACGCAACTAATTCTGATTAAGTAATCTAAACAACGTACTGATTTGGAATTTTTCCTGACTCATCACATGACTTATCCTCACTTTTGTTTCGCCTTAGGGTGTGCGCTGTGCAAAAGCGTAGGCGGAGTCCATGGGTGGGTTGGAATCCCACTGAGGCTACGGAACTTTTTACGATTCATACCTATTGAGTTCTGCTTCCCAGAAATGTGATTATCCAGACTCGAAAATGAATTCACCGAAAGTATCTTTCCGCCTATAAATATTGTGCTCCACATGTGTGTTTGCGCCTAGCTCCAGAGACAACTAGGTTCTTATTTCATAACTGAATTGAGGGATACCAGTTGATTGACTTTCAATATTAAATGCGTAATTTTATTGACTACTCGCGAGGATAACCTTGCATTGTCTCTCTGTGATTAGCTGCCTGGGGCCTGATGATACCAACGGTTGAGAGCAGTGATTACGTTTCAGGGTTTATTAAAACAAACCGTACTCACAGTAGGATAAAAGTTTGAATCATCGCGTTATACTAAGTGACCAGTTTGTCTATGTCAATAGGTATCCACCTTATATCACTGTACGTTACTGCTACTTTTAACATAAAATGATTTCTATATCCAATTTACGTTTCACATTTGCTATTGTTGCGGGCATCGCGTGTTATTTTAATCATAAAACGTTAGATACTGACGTGTCTAGACTTAGCTGATAGATGGCTGAGAATTGATGACTGATGGAGACACCAGGTAGTCAGAAAAAGACCAGTTGTTGACAGAATATTGAAAATCGGTTCTCTTAGCTCGGGTGAACTGAATTCCATTTCGCCTGTTCGCCGAGCTTGGCAATTTGTTTGCAAACGTTTCATCACCAGCCGAGGCGACATCATCAGTGCTTATGAAGTGGCCACTTCACAAGCACTGATGATGTCGCCTCGGCTGGTGATGAAACGTTTGCAGACAAATTGCCAAGCTCGGCGAACAGGCGAAATGGAAGACCAGTTGTGATGCGCAAACATTTCGTTTAATCTCCTCAGGTAGTGCTACCCATACATGTCAATCATTTCTAATAATGGTTACGCCACGTTTAGTTGTGCAGTCAATTTAGGCGAGCTGGGTGATCTTTGGAGGAAATAAATACTCTGTTCTGTCTTCAGCTCATTTCCTGGCATTCTACTAGGTTACCGAACTTATTCAGTACTTGTATTTGTACTCTGTCAGCCATTGATCCAGTCAAGGGTCCATTTTTACCAAGGCATGTACCACTACACAGTTGCATGTGAGCCGTTAGATAATGTGATGTGCATGTGCAAATCTTCTAAAACGGTTATGGAAATTTGTACCTTGTTAGTTTACCCCCGGTGAAGCCAGACTGGTATTTTTGCGCATATGCACTGGGGATTAACCAAAATCGAACGAGAAGAGTGCTTCAAGGCTGTTATCCCAATGGAATTCCACAAAGGTTTGCCTTTTGATCACTGTACGACCAATGCCTATACAGAATCTGTGCAAACTGGGAAGTCAGTTCTAATGTGAATAAAACTGTGCACTTATCTGTATTTGTATTTGCATATATTTTTACGTGGACAGATGTCTGCATTCCAGTCAAAAATTGTACATCATCTCCTCGAAAAGAGGAAATAAGACAAGTAAAACATTCAACCAGCAAGGTTGCTGAGAAATTCAGAAGAAACGCTCTGCCGATTTGTGAGGATCATAGCAAGTTAGGGAACTGTGGATTTTTTGTAGAGGTCGATGTGGGAGGGTAATGCACCATATACAGAACAAGTGAATGAATGAGAGCGATAGTTTGATAGAGAGATTTTCTGTACAAGTGTTTTGCTTGCGGACAAGTGTAGTTCACACATTTTTTTAGATAGATCATCAACGGGCATACAAGACACAC